ACTTTCTGCTTCAGCAAAACATAACCCTGAAAAGCTTCAATTATAAGATATCAAGGCAAATCAGCTGCCCTTGGTGGCTCTTTGCTCTTCCCTAAACCGAGCTGGGTTAAGCAATTATCATCTGATACGTTATTTTTTCTTTAAGCGAGACCTGGAGAGGAATCAATGCAGAGCGCTACTTTAAAAGCGAGATCCTTTTTTTTGTGCTTGCAGTCCTTCGAGAAATTGGCCAAGCAAACCCGTGTTTAAAGGGAAAGTAAGAAAAGATGAATACATGGGATGATATTTTATCAATGGCAGAACACTTTCATCCAACGGCTCATGTCAGCCAAGTTCATCCAGCAGCGTCTCTCCATTGAGTGCCGTGGTTCACACCGGCGCTGAAAGGAAATCGTAATAATAAGAAAATTGGATCAGAAGTATTCTATCAGTCACTGAATCCCTTCAGGCCAGGAAGAAGATATTTAACTTCTGAGCCCACACAGAAGGCAACACCTGAAAACATCTGCCAAGGTAGGAGTTAGCGACTCACAAGACTTACTACAACCAAACGGGAAAAAAAAGCTGTTAGAATTTGAGATTCTGTCAACGGCAGAGTTAAAAAGGCATATTTTGTCATAAATAAAACATAAGAGTGCAGCATTCAGCCAACTCCCCCATCGAAGGGTCCCAAGAGGGAGCCGGGATGCTGTTTGTGAACTCATGCTTTGCACAGTAAAGGAGGCTATAGCACTGCGTCACCACGACCCAAACCACATTCCCACATCCAGGCCTATTCAGCGAGGACTAGTCCTCTTTAAAAATTCATTCATTTACAGCAAAAATAGATTAAAGCGCCTAACTGTACCAACCAAAAAAGTTTGGCTTGTGAATAGCATTAATAATAGAAGTGAACATCCCAAACCTCGAGGCCCAGGCTCGGAGGCACAGATTCGAATTTGTTGCGCTTTATAACGGAGAGTCATTTACATTTTTTAGAAGTATTACAGCTTTTTGATGCTTGTTTGTAATTACATTGTTTTACATGCAAATTGCCTAACAATTGCTACTCATTAAAACATAACCAGCAGAGTGCAACACTCTCAGCTTGAGTAGGACGTCAGGTTCACCACGGAGGCTTTGCACCGAACTCTCATCACTGGCAGCGCGGCTGTGGAGTTCAATCCGCATAACAGCCCTCTAAAGGTGATCATCCCATATCTTATCTCTCACATCTTTCTTTTTGAAATCACAGCGATGGCTTTGCAAACTGAATCAAAGAGGATTTTGACAAGATAAAAGGATTTGCTGCATTAGAATTCAAATTATGTGTACTTTCCGGAGGACATGACAAAAATCACAGTGACTGCAAGCACTCAGGGAACTTAAACATACTTGAAAAGAGAGAGCGCCTGCTCTAATGTGCTGTCAAAATCATAAACTTGGAGCCTGATGACAGAGTAGTCTGTTATGTGAGTAAATCAATACCTGATTTAGTGTTGCTTATACAAAAATTACGGTCGGGGCATGTGGCTGTCCGCACTTCTGGTAGGAGGTGCGGTAAACACCGAGTCATTTCAATAATCACAGCTGATAATGGACATGACCCGAGGTAATTAAGGTGAGCAGATCTCCTGTAGATTGGACGCCTCATCCTCACCTCTTTTTATAGTTGTGGTATCTACCAGCAAGGCAGTGAACCAACAGCTCCTCTAACTAAAGTGTTCGTGATGAAGAGAAGCAGACAGCGTCCTGGCATTTTGGAGCTACAATTAAAAAGGTCTGCACTTTGCTATAAGGTTTACAGAAAGTTAAGGATTTTTTTCAAGGCCAGTTAGAGACTCAAAAGACTAAACTTGAATGAGATGCAAGAAAAACTCTGAATTTTAGTCACAGAACAGTTTCTACAAATGTCTTCATCCACATAAAAAGGAACGAGCCCCCGCACCGTGAGAACAAACATCTCAGCTCTAAATCCTATCTTCATCCACGTACGTCACACGTCACGTGATCCGGAAGCAGAAAATCCATGTGTTAGGGGATCATTTTGGGCCACTGCTGTAAAAAAAAGTGAGGCGCACACCGGAAAAGCTTCTGCCGACCACAATTCAACAATGGATTATGAAAGAATGGATAACGCTCGAAATGCGCGGATTCCTCCCGATGTCAGAGGTGAGTCTCTGCTTTGTTTTGGTAGTTTTGGCGTTGACATCATCCTAGCGCGCTACGTTCTGTGAGTCTTAAAAAAACTGTAAAAAACACTGGCAGTGAAGGGCTTTTCCGATCAGGAAACGGCTGGCAGTGAATGAGTTAAGAGGCATGAAAAAAAAGTTTTGAGCTAGTTAGTTTTCCAAATTTTCCTTCGCAGCTTTAAGATATTTTAAGGGACAACAGTAGCTCAAAAGGTAGAGCAGTTTGTCCAGTACTTGTTTGCAGGTTTAATCCCGGCTCCCACCAGAGAATGCTGCTGTTGTGTCCTTGGGCATTTAACCCACCTTGCCTGCTGATGGTGGCCGGAGAGACCGGTGGCGCCAGAGTACGGCAGGCCTCGCCTCTGTCAGTGAGCCCCAGGACAACTGTGGTTACATTGTAGCTCATCCCCACCAGCGTGTGAATGGATAAATGACTGATTTTGTGGTGAAGTGCCTTGGGGGGTTGTAGAACCCTACACAGGCGCAATACAAACACAGCCATTTACCATATTTATGGAACAAGCTAAATGCAGCTTTGAATTCTAGTAGAACCTCTTTAAGACAACACCCCAGCCAGCATAGGTGGGCCCCAAATGGATATTTATGGGCAAACTGTGTCAATAGGGTTTGTCTGCAGTTTCCATAATGGACCCACAGGGATTTGCCCACATAGATTTTAATGGGACCATGTATGAGTCATACCATCTGGGTCCTTCTGAAAACCCATGTAGGGCCCGTTAAACTGTATGTCAGCAAATATCTATGGGCAAACCCCTGCGTGGGGCCATCATGAACACTATGGAAAAACCCTGTTGGCACCTATACGACTTGCCCATATATATCCATATGGGGCCCACCTATGCATCCTGGCTGGGGTGTTGTCTGAAAGAAGCTCTACTAGAATTCAAAATGGTATTTAGCTGTTGTTGTTGAATGTAGGCAGCTTTGGGTGTGAAATGTACCAAACCATCTCCGACCAGCTTTATGCAAATTAGAAAGTTTGTAATAGCGGTGGATAAACAGTTCAGCTGGAGAAAAATTACAATAATATGTCATGAATGCAGAATATTTTATGTCTTTTTGATTCGTGTTCTGTCCAAGTGGGTGGGGTCAGCCAGTCTTTCCGTTGTAGGGTTTTATTATGGAGTTGTGTTTGGCCATTTATCAGGGCTCCTGGGCCATTTTGAGCCCCAACAAAGTTTCATGTGATACATAGAGGCTCATAGACAAACCCCTTTCTTTCAGACTCAGGGTGTGAGCACTGTGTTTCAATTTTAAATGTCATCAAACACGATTTCTCACAAAAGAATAAATACATTTTAGGACAAACAAGTATTACGGTGCTTTATTTTGCTAAATTTGTGTTAGATGTTTTAATTAAACACACAAAAAGAGGAGGGGGGTGACAGCTAACCGATTGCAAAAAAAAGCGGTATGGAGATCATCTTTGCCAAAGAGACTGATGCGCCTGCAGTGTGCACACAAACAGCCCCTCATTCAACTTTCAAAAAGTCATTACAAGACTCACTTCTTTGCACTGCATTTGCTGACATTGACGATAATTACAATGACCTTTTCCGATGATAAAACACAAATCAGTAAAACATCACGACGGTTCCTTCTCTTCACGTTTCATGAGATTCCGCATAACGTTTTAATGAGGCATTTAGGGGTCTATGAGTGATGTACTGAGAAATCCTACAATGGCAATCAGCAGCAAGTGTGGCAGCTGTTCAGCAATTAAAAAGCCAAATTGCCCTCAATCAACACCATTTACAAGCACAAGTAAATCTCAGAGCAAATAATGATGAGAGAAATCTGTTCAGACAGCTCTCATCTTGATGGGAATTAGAGACACATCCAAATAAGGAGCAGGATGTTCTCTCAAAAGTGTCCCCAGTCTGTGGCACACACCTCTCTGCTGCTGCCTGAACATTTTTAGTGAGGTGAGCTGGACAGTGCTAACCTGCCTGTCCATGAGGCAGCAGCAGCAGCACTTTAAAGCATATGTCCACCTTTTCATGGCAAAATCATGGTCTCAAAATAGAAAAGAATCTGAAAAGGGGTAAAATAAACAAAAATGCACTGTCCATCTCCTCTAAGGACTTAAAAGGTTTTCTCAAACTAACTTGTAACCAATAAATTATTAAAACATTCATAGGACTTTCAATATTTCAATGTTATTTATTCCAGCTGCTTCTAAAGCACAAATTGATGTCAAATCTGAAATATAACGCATAAATCAGATTTGACCAGTAATTTTTTTAAATACTTACTTTTTTGTGAACTGAGGCTCTCCTATGACCTTGACCCCAAAACACAAGATGAAACTTATCTTGTTTTTAAACTCAAAATGAGAAAACATGCATGTTCTGACATATTTTATTCATTGTTAAAATTTGTATTTTTGAAATAAACTGTGTCAGCTCCTTCACAATAAAAGAGCATCTTCAGTTTTATTGCAGTTAACTTGGAGACACATCACAGGAGCTCCGCTGAAAGCCTCAGGTTGTTTTTTACAAGTCGCTGTTTTCACTTTAAAGCCATTAAATCGTGTGTCGTTTGCTTTAAACATGATGTAAAAGACCCGTTTTATGAACATCTTCTCTGACATCCTTTACTGCGTTTATGGCACATGCATGAAGTCATAACAATAAACTTAAAAAAAAGTTGACTTATAAGGGCAAAAATGTCTGCATGCATGCATATAATCACAGGCACTGAACTTGTCACGGCCTGCCTTTAAGTAAAAACATGTTTTTAAAGGCTTATTTAATAATACCTGTCCTCTGCCTTCATATTAATGATGATAATTCTGCAGATACTCACCGTCGGGTATATGAATATGAACCGGCTCTGGGGTTTTGTATTCCGTCGCCTGATGATTATGCACTTGAAAAATCCCCCTCGAAGACAAAAGGTCTCCCCCGGTTCCTCTGCGCGTGTCACCCGGGCTGAGGGGGTCGGAGCTCCGCTGGAGTCGAACTGAACTGACCGCTGGCTCGTTGGTCATTCGACGCTCGTGACGGAAAGACTCGACCCGCTGTTCACGTTTAAAGCTCGGCAGCAGAAGATCCGGGCTCTTCGGGGCGCTCGGAGCTCCGCTGATGAGAAGCCGGAACTACTTCCGACGCCAGCCGGAGCACGCCGAAGACGAATCCATGCTCCACACTGGAACAGCACATCCAACTAAGTAGTTCCCAGTTTCACAAAGACGTGACCACAGCAATTAAAAACAAATGGGAATATTTTATCTGTAATGCCGTTTTTATTTTTCACAATTAACAATTGTTATTATTATTGAAGAAAAAAACAGTCCCAAACATTAAAAAATACACAGTTCTCAGTACAGTGATCCCTCGCTCCTTCGCGTTTCGTTTATCGCGGATTCACGACTTCGTGAATGTTTTCTTTGGAGCCTTACTCAAGGGAAATTCGCCGAATCGCGGTATTTTCCACCGATTCAGGGTATTTTTCTACGCGAAATATCAAGAAATTCCTGGTTTTTTTTAAATCAATTTCATCATAAAATGCACTTTTTGTAATAAAACTATAAAAAAAACAAGTTAAATACAGTACTATGTAAAGGGAGGGTTTTTAAAGTCTGAATACTGAATAGTACCTGTTAAATAAATACTGTAAATATGGTGTCCCTACTTCGCGGATTTTCACCTATCGCGGACAGGTCTGGAACGCATCTACCGCGATAAACGAGGGATCACTGTATGTCATATTTGTTGCCTTAAACATGTATTTATTTATTTAGCTTTTAAGTATCTCAAAAATGTTTCAAATCTGCAGAAAAAATATCCATCCATCCATTTTCAGCCACCTACCCGGGGTTGGGTCGCAGGGGCAGTAGCCTAAGCAGGGAGGCCAAGGCTTACCTCTCCCCAGCCACTTTGGTTAACTCTTCTGGGGGAATCCCAAGGCTTTCCCTGGCCAACCAATAAACACAGTCCCTCGAATGTGTCCTGGGTCTTCTTTTAGGTCTCCATCCAGTTGGACGTGCCCGGAAAACCTGCAGGGAGGCATCCAGGAGGCATTCTCACCAGAATCCCTAAATCTAATGACCTGTCATAAAACATTTTGGTAGCACCAATGCATTTGCGTGCGTGTAATAATTAGTGGTGAGTTGATTTTGTCCTTCTCTTGTTTAATTGTGTGAAATCAGTCACAGTGGAAGGTTTTCCAGCATGAGTGGACCGATAAAGGTCAAAGGTCAGACAACCACCTTCAGGGTATCCAGGTCAAAAGCAGAAACGGTGGTTCCATTCATTCCTGGAATTCATCCAGGTCCTGAAGCAGCAAAGCATCTCCAGACCATCACACTTCCACTGCCATGTTTGACTGATAAAAATTTTCTTTTACTGAGTTAGTTTTACTTTAGAAGTAACAGGACACATGCCACCAGAAAGTTCCACTTTGGTCAGTCCATGGAATATTTATTTATTTATTTATTTATTTATTTATTTATTTATTTATTTATTTATTTATTTATTTATTTATTTATTTATTTGCTTGTTTGTTTGTTTGTTTAAGCAGATGCAAGACAGCAGAGGTTTTGGATTAGAAACTCCCGGAGAGGATATCAGTCAATAGATTAAAGCTTATGCTAGTTACAAAAATATTTGGTCTTTTAGCTCTGGTGGATTGTTCATAATAGCATTCAAAACATAGGGATTGGGATTATTTGTTAATCTTAAATCAAGTTTGATCTCTCATCTAGCTACATTTAAAATATTGATGTTTTTTGTCATTTGAACAGAATCCCTCTTAGACTTGTTTGAATCCTTTTAATTCCTTAAAGAAATATCAACAATAACCCAGTCTGCCATAACATTATGACTCCCCCTTTGGCCTCCAGCCAGGCCTTGAGCCATGCTCACATCTGACAACAGGTCCTCGCTAGGGTTTTATTCTCTTTTATCTTGAGTAAATTCTAAAATTCCTGCTAGTTAGGAGGCAGCGCTCCCTTTGTTTGGACTTGTTTCTTCAGAACATCACTCAGATTGGATTGACAACGAGTGAATTTGCAAAATAACAAGTCGACATTGTTTCAGGTGTCAAACCCGTCTGCAACCAGTTTTGCAGACTGGTCGATAAAAATGATCGATTACGGAATTCTTATGTGTGTGTGTAAATTTCTTCATTCATCACACATTTTAAACTGAAATGTTAACATTTATTTGTTGACTGATTTAACTTTATTGATTTTATTTAAACCTGAAAACTGGTGAGGATGTCTGGTCAGATTATTCTTCTACATTCTGCACCGTGAGTACATAAACAAGTGCTGAAGCTTCATATGTTTCAGTGATGAATGATTGGAATTCTTCAGCAGCAAAATTGCACAACTTAACCGCTGTTAGAAAGAAAAACAATGAAAAATATTTACTTTTGCATTTTGTATATGATATCTGATATATTTTAAATACCATTTTATAATAGGCACATTTGGTTTCAGAGGCAACACTTATTATAAATTATAAATCATTTGTATTGTTATCAAAATAAATAACCCTCATGATAAATCTCCTTCATTCTGAGGCTCATTTTGAACCTAATCATTCCACTTCTACGCCTGAATGCAATAATCAGTTATTAATGTTAAAATTAATTGAACTAAAACTAAAAAAGGGACCTGTAAGTATCACTTATTACTTTTAACTCAAGAGAAAAATGTTAGAATTTGACACAATATGCTTGCTCTACATAGTCTGTGGTCTTTAAGATGCGATAAGATAAGACACCTTTATTTGTCCCTCAATGGGGAAATTGCATTATTGCCACAGCTCAAGTCCAGTAGTATAGCATACAAAAGAAATCGCACATGAGTAGAATTGTAAGTTGGGATAATTATTGCACATAGTAACGAGAGTAGAAGTAATTATTGCACGTCTGGAAAGGTGGACATGTATCCTTTGATTTAGAAGATTCCTAAACATAAACAGCTCGGTGCTGCTCTCGCCTGGGTGGTGAGGCAGCTTGCACAGGGGGTGAAACTCGTCATGACTTTTGCATTTGACAGAATCCGCAGCTGAGTAACTGTTGTGACTCCACTCTACCACTAGAGAGCGCTCCAACTCCAGAAAACAAGTTATAGTGGTTCAAATATTTTTCTTGAAGGCTCAGCAGAAAACAGCTGTCAGATTAAATAAGTGCACGTTTGATATTGAGTAAATTAAGTCTAATCCAAATCAATGACATAAAACATATTTATGATGTTTTGTTTTCGAACCCGGACAAAGAACTGTTCCCCTTACTGCAGAAATACGTCTTATAGAACAATATGTGCTGATTGTAGTCCTACACTTAAACCCAAATCATCGTGTATTTAGTTACTCTAGAAAGTCGATGTTGTGCTTTTTCCTCCCACACATATTCCTCCCTGACAGCATCATGTGATGTGCCTGCTGGAGCCTGCATGTAGCTGGAACCACGTCAGCATCTATTGAGCGCAGCGCCGTTTCACTCCCGGAAGATGGGCGCAGTTCACGCAGCTGTAATCAAACATGTTCACGCACTACACCCGTCATCTCCTTTTTCTACGAATCGGGCAGAAAATGCAAGACTTCCAGGTGACGCACATTTAGAGATGATGCGTCTGGTGTGCTGGCGATGGTTCATCTCAACTGGTTTTGCCCGGTTTGATCCAGCTGGGTATCCGACGTTGCAGCGCGTCTTGTACGGGTCACACAAAAACATTGTGTCTGATGATTAAAATGTGTAGGCCTAATGAGGGCAAACGACAACTTTAAAGCATCAAACATGAGTAAATATGATGTTATTACTGGTGCATCTAATTTTAAAAATACTTAATATGATTTTAAACGAGAAAAAGCACTTCTAATCGATCTAATCAATAATCTTGCACCAAATGACGAAACAAGTATAAAGCATTGAACTGATTTTTATTTGTTTTGTACGTAACGCAATACTTAGTGTAACTTTTTCACAGCCAAAACGTTTTTTATATAATCAAGTCAGTTTGAGATGCTGTAAGTTTCGGACCGTTTTTTATTTTTTATTTCCATGACGAAATATGATGCGAGAGCTAGTTTAATCTCGCGAGAGTGGCCCGAGGACAATTCCAGGGAAGCCTTTATTGCAGTTTTTCTGTTTTTGTTTAACTAGTTTCACATTTCGTTGACTTTTTTAAATATGTAGTTAAGGGAAAGAGAGGCTTTCACACACACACACACACACACACACACTCACTTAAATTTTGTTTTTATGATCTATGTGCTCCTTTACATTAATGACCTATTCAAAGTAGGCTATAACAAACTTGTTTTGGTCTTCTATGTTTGTTTTTATTAGTTAGAACGACGCTTGTGTCTTCCATAGTTAAATACATAGCATAGTACTTTTGACTATTCTAATCTGCAGTTGTGGGCTTTACTTTTACTTAGTTACTTATGCATATAAAATTATAAAATTAGAACAAATGTGGACAGAAGAAAGATAATATCATTTCAATGTTACTCAAGGGTAGTAATGGATATTTCATTCCCAGATTTTATAATGATGAATCAGAGGAAACATATATTATGTTGTTTACTGCTTGAGAATTTCCTTGGGTTATAATAATAAAGTACACGTTTCTATTAAAAGTAACGGTTTTAATAGAGGAAATGCATGCCATGATGAATGTGTAAATATAGAATGGGTTCTGATGTGACTGTTGACTTCCACCCACCAAGATTTCCCCCTCCACACAAGCAAGGGGAAGGAAGAGAAGTGGGTCAGCATAATGTTGCTCAGCCGACCCAGCTGTCCCTAGATGGCGTCGGTAAACAATAGCCATCGCCTAAAGACAACCTAAACTAACAATATTCAACTCTCTGTTTCAAATTCAAATGGGGAGGTCACACGAATGTCCTTGTTTTGTAGTGACCGTATGTTATTTCCCGCCTCTTTGCCAGACTACGCTGTTGTTCACCAAACCTCTCCGCTTCTCGTCTGGTCTGAACCGGTTCGGAGAATGCGCGGCCTCGCGCGCATTACAGACCTTTGCAGAGATTCTCAGAACAGTCCGCGCGCGCTCAACGGGTTCAGTTCTACTGATTGGTCGGAATGGGTTTGACCCGCCCATTACGTGCGCGTGTTGTTTGGACATCGATGCAATCCGCGTGCTGCGATTGGCTAACGCCCCTGGAAACCTCTGTTTTGGGGCAGACCCCGTTTTTTCGTGATGCACGAGCTCGCGGCGAAGGAGCGGAGTTGTAAACCGAGCGCGTGCACTTTTCAGCACCAATACCTCGTGGATAGCAGCCAAAGGTACAAGACAAGAGGGCAGTTGCGTCGGTTAGCTTACTTTTTTGAGGGATAGGCCGACAACTTTGCGGTCGGTAACTTCATACACCGCAGCTGAGCGAGAAAATTTTAGTAGCGGCTCTGAGACGCCGAGCGGAAATACAACGCGGCAGTGCTCTCAGCTTTGTTCGCTTCGGCGGCAAGAGCTGCGTTTGGGTTGAAAGAGATCCGGGGAAATACCATCATCTTCATCGCGTTTGTTTGCTTTGTTTTTCTCCGTCGGGGTTTAACGAACTGCACCACGACGAGACTAAATGGCTGGAATCGAAGGGAATCAAAGGTGATATAAGATATTTTCCAGCCAGCGGCGGGGCCCGTGGTCCTGTTTTAGCCACATCACAGCGTGCTCGTGCCGCTTGCCACTGAGGATCTCCTCCATTGTGAGAGCTTCTCTGCGAATCCCGCGCTACCGCCGCACACACACCTGCCGCCCCCGCCTCTGTGCTTTGTCGTTTTTTGGGGGTCCATCCTAGATTTTTTAAACTAAATCCGCACCAACAAAATGTGTTCTCGGGTTTGGTTCGTGACCGACCGGCGCATCAGCCAGGAGTATCCCCAGGTCCAGATCCTCCGGGCGCTGAAGGAGCGCTGCGCGGACGAGGACGTTGAATTCCGCTACCTCCTGATGGATCAGATCGTGCTCACGATCAGCGAGGGGCAGCTAGGCAAGTATCATTAATCTACTACGGTCAGGCTTGTTTTAAACCTGCTGCGTATTGGATTTGTTGGCAGTACAAACCTAAAGGCAGGCGGATATTGTCCGGCGGTGACAGCGATGCCAAGCAGGGCTTGCCCGGTCTGTGAGGAAGCGTGGCAGTGACCGCCTAACCCACTTTCCTTCTGGCTGAGGGAAGCGATGACGCTTGATTACATTTCGCTGAATACGCAGCATTTCCTTCACAAAGCTGCAGGGCGTGTTGTTTGTTTAAATTGGATTTGTTGCAACTATTTGCACAATATGTCCAGCTTTGTGTAAAAACAAAAAAAAAAAAAAACCTCAGTAGATGCAGCCAAAACTGAAAATATAACCTACTACTATTGTCTATGTCCAAGTGCAAATGTGCTGATCCTTCTAGCGTGCTGCTGAGATCACTGGACATCAATCATGTGCTGTCACGCTGCACTGGCCTGGACAGAACATTTCACAGTAACAGGAAGCCTTGATGCAAGTGATGGAAACAGCAGGGCCTTTCCACAAGCAAGCATGCTTGGAATTTGTGAAGACTGTGTGAAATGGGACTGTCTCTAGGTTAGGGGTGTGACGGTTTAAATTAACACGCAAATGCTGCAGGCTGACATTAGCAGAGGCTGCATAGATGGGGATGTGAGACAAACAGGGGCGTGTCAGGGCAACGCGGTTACTACATGGTCAGAGACAATACGTTCATGTGGAAGATGCATGAACGAGAATCTGCAGCGAGCACTTCAAACATAAACAAAGAAGACAACTCACCTATGTAGGTAGAAAGCTGTCTAAGTGTGGCTTAATGAGCTAATCGTGAGCAAGGCTCTTAGCAAGACCTGTAATCCTTGTTGGCTCTAAATCTGCACACAAATGTCTTCTGAACCTCAGCGTGGCATCACAGATTACCAACGAGTGGACAGCTTGACCATGCTGAGGACTTCCTACACATGAAGTCACGCATTTTAGGAAAATATAGTTCCAAATTCATCCTCAACAAAACAACCTTCAAATTTTTTATTCCAATCTGCCTAACACACCAGTATGCTAGCATTTGTGCTAAGTTATTTTGGTAACGCTTTCTTTTACCGTCCCCTAATTACTAAGTACTTACACGGTAATTTACGTCATAAGTTAAAGTGTATTATTGTTTCTTAACAGTTATTACCATGTAACGCGGGTTGAATTCTAGTTTTTTTGTATTTGTCATTTCCAGTAAATTCTGCTTTACACAGTAATTACACTTTATTACATTTATACACTTTAATTACACAATAATACACTTACTACGTAATTACCGTGTAAGTACTTAATAATTAGGGGACTGTAAAAAGAAGCGTTGCCGTTATCGTTAATGAAAAACAACTGTCACTTGGCTAGCATGGTTAAACCCGGCATACAGCCACAGAAAAGCATTTCACATCTCACGACGATACAATTAAACAGAAACTGGACATGATTGGATGTCACTATCCTCTGTGATGTCGGGTGGTACGCTGTTGTCCCCGTGATGATAAATGCAACACTTCTGTGTCATCGAACAGGCTGTTTCAGTAACTTTGTTTATCAGCGTGGATGCCAACAAGATTCAGAAACAGAAGCTTTAACTTTGCATTCTAAACAA